TTCCTCAAAAAATTAAAAATACACCTACCCTATGACCCAGCAATAGCACTGCTAGGAATTTACCCAAGGGATACAGGAGTGCTGATGCATAGGGGCACATGTACCCCAATGTTTATAGCAGCACTTTCAACAATAGCCGAATTATGGAAAGAGCCTAAATGTCCATCAACTGATGAATGGATAAAGAAATTGTGGTTTATATACACAATGGAATACTACTTGGCAATGAGAAAGAATGAAATATGGCCTTTTGTAACAACGTGGATGGAACTGGAGAGTGTTATGCTAAGTGAAATAAGTCATACAGAGAAAGACACAGACCATATGTTTTCACTCTTCTGTGGATCCTGAGAAACTTAACAGAAGACCATGGGGGAGAGTAAGGAAAAAAGAAAAAAAGTTGGAAAGGGAGGGAGCCAAACCATAAGAGACTCTTAAAAACTGAGAATAAATTGAGGGTTGATGGGGAGTGGGAGGGAGGGGAAAGTGGGTGATGGGCATTGAGGAGGGCACCTGTTGGGATGAGCACTAGGTGTTATATGGAAACCAATTTGATAATAAACTTCATATTAATAAAAAAAAAATAGAAAAAAAATTCTGTTATTATTTCCAACCTGCAATTCGATGCTCTACCAAAATTTAAGTGAAGAAAGAAGATGGGGGACCCATTAACCAAGAACCAATAAAGGAAAGTGAGGAGGGAAATCAGGACAAAGCTGAGGAGCAAGTCCAGACAACACCAACCTCAGTTGAGACTAGAGAAAAAAAAAAAAAAAAACCTAAAAATTCTGCAAGTGAGGACTCCAGGGGAAAATAAACAATCAATTCATCATGTGATATATTTGACCACTTGGAAAATACTAAGAACAGAACAGTATAAAATAAATTTAATGAAGCATAGGGGAAAAAATAAAGCTACGAACATGGAAAACTAAAAACAAATTTAAAAATTAGGTAATTAACTCCAAAAGAAACAAAAAAATTGAATTAATAAAATTTAATATATTTGATTTCCTAGAAGCCTATTTAGTTCTGCAGTAGAAAAAATTTCATAGTCATAATAATGTGAACAGTAACTACTGATTTAATAAAAAATTGTGACATAATTATATTGGAAAAACAGTCAAAAGGGAATTGGAGAAAGAGTGTAAGAGCCAAAGCTTACCAACCACAAAAATCAATAAAGATCATTATAAGGACTTTATTTACAATCATAGAAGAAATACCAAAAGAAACAACTATAAGAGTTGAAAATGGACACCTAAGGGCGTGTGTGGCTCAGTCGGTTAAGCGTCCAACTCTTGATTTCAGCTCAGGTCATGATCTCAGGGTCCTGGGATCAGGCCCCCATTGGGCTCCATGCTTAGCTTACAGAATACTAGCTTAATATTCTCTCTCTCCCTCTCTCTCTGCCCCTACCCCCTCGTGCTCACTCTAAATAAAATTTAAAAAAAAAAAAAAGAAAAGAAAAGAAAATGGACACCTAGTAGAACTGAGGGTAAGGCTAGAGACAGCCATTAATTTAATCATTTATTTTCTTTTCTTTAAAAATTTTTTAATGTTTATTTTTGACAGAGACAGAGCGTGAGTGGGAGAGGGACAGAGAGAAGGAGACAGAATCTGAAGCAGGCTCCAGGCTCCAGGCTCAGCACAAAGCCTGACTCGGGGCTCGAACCCACCACCCGTGAGATCATAACCTGAGCCGAAGTCAGATGCTTAACCAACTGAGCCACCCAGGCACCCCTCATCATTCCTTTGGTACTATTTTATAATAATATTATATTTCATTTTGTAAATGAATTATTGTAAATTCTTTCTTTTATATAACAGTTATATATAACAGCTATAAAAGTTATATATAACTTTTATAAGACAAATTCCTTATTTTATATAACAAAAAAAGGATGGAGCAAATATGGCAAAATATTAAAAATTGTCAGTATCAATTCTGGTGATAGGAAGATAGTTGTTTATCATGTTATACTCTGTACTTTTCCATATTTAAAAAAATTCCCTCTTCCCACACAAATAAGCCCAGCTGATATTTTACAAAGTTCCAAGGACAATTCACTGGAGGAAGGATTTTTCAGCAAATGGTGCTGGAGCAACTGGATAGCCACAGGCTTATACGTACATGCACAAATACACATACACGCGCATACACACACATACACGCACACATACAAAAATCAACATCAACCTAAACCTTACACTTTATACAAAAATTAATTCAAAATGGATCACGGAATTAAATAAATGCAAAACATAACACTATGAAACTTTTATGTAAAAAAAAGAGAAAATCTTTGGAATCTAGGGTTAGATGTTCTTAGATTTGACACCAAGAGTGTGATCCATAAAAGGAAAAACTGATTAAAGGACTTGACCAAAATAAAACCTTTTGCTTCACAAGGGACCCTGTTAAGAGGATGAAAAGACCAGCTACAGACTAGAAGAAAATATTCACAAGCCAGTATCCAACAAAGAACCTATATCTAGAAAATGTTTTTAAAAATTCTCAAATCTCAACACTTTTTTAAAAAGTCCAAACAGAAAGTGGGCAAAAGGCACATTTTTAGAAAGAAGATATACAGATGGTAAACAAGCACATGAAAAGATGTTCAAATCATTAACTATTAGAGAAATGTAAATTATACCTACAATGGGATCTCATTATACACCTATCAGGACAACTAAGATAAAAAATAGTGGCAACATCAAATGCTGGGGAGGATGCAAAAAAAAAAAAAATGGATCATTCATACATTGCTGGGGCATATGCAGAATGGTATGACCACTCTGGAAAACATCTGGGTAGTTTCTCATAAAACTAAACATCCAATTACTAAGTGACCTAGCCATCACACTCATGGATATTTATCCCAGAGAAATGCAAGCTTATGTTCACACAAAACCTAGACATAAACGTTCATAGTAGTTTTACATGTAATAGCCAGAAACTCTAAACAACCTAGGTGTCCTTTAACAGGTGAACGGTTAAACAAACCATTCATACCATGAAACACTACCTAGCAATAACAAGGAATGAACTATTGAGACATGTAATAACAACCTGGGTGAATCTCCAAGGAATTACACTGAGAGGAAAAAGCCGATCCTAAAAGGTTCCATATAGTAGGATTCCATTTATTTTTTAATTTTTTTTTTTAACGTTTATTTATTTTTGAGACAGGAAGAGACAGCATGAATGGGGGAGGGTCAGAGAGAGAGGGAGACACAGAATTTGAAACAGGCTCCAGGCTCTGAGCTGTCAGCACAGAGCCCGATGCGGGGCTTGAACTCACGGACCGCGAGATCATGACCTGAGCCGAAGTCGGATGCTTAACCGACTGAGCCACCCAGGCGCCCCTCCATTTATTTTTTTAATGTTTACTTATTTTTGAGAGAGAGAGACTGAGTGTGAATGGGGGAAGGGCAGAGAGAGAGAGAGCGAGAGAAAAGAGTCTGAAACAGGCTCCAGGCTCTAAGCTGTCAGCACGGACCCTGATGCAGGGCTTGAACTCACGAACTGTGAGATTATGACCTAACCTGAAGTCAGATGCTTAACCAACTTAGCCACCCAGGCGCCCCAGTATGATTCCATTTATATGATAACATTTTTGAAATGACAAAATCTTAGTAATGGAAACCACATGAGTTGTTGCAGGGGTTAGGGATGGGGAAGGGTGGGACCAAGGTATGTGGTGATGTATTCTTCTGTATCTTGACTGTAGTGATGGATACACAAACCAATGTGTGGGCTAAAGATTGCATAGAACTAAACACACACACACACACACACACACACACACACACACCCCACACACACACTCTAAAACTGGGGAAATCTGAGTAGACTGGTGTATAATATCAATATCCTAGTTGTGATATTATACTATACTTTTAGAAGATATTATCATGGAAAAACTGTGGAAAGGGTGCATGTAATATCTGTTATTTTTACAACTTTATGTGAATCTACAATTATAATAAAATGATAAATTTAAAAAAAAATTTTTTTTTTCAACGTTTTTTATTTATTTTTGGGACAGAGAGAGACAGAGCATGAACGGGGGAGGGGCAGAGAGCGAGGGAGACACAGAATCGGAAACAGGCTCCAGGCTCCGAGCCATCAGCCCAGAGCCCGACGCGGGGCTCGAACTCACGGACCGCGAGATCGTGACCTGGCTGAAGTCGGACGCTTAACCGACTGCGCCACCCAGGCGCCCCGATGATAAATTTTTTTAATGTTTATTTATTTTTGAGAGAGAGAGAAGAGAGAGAGACCAAGTGAGGGAGGGGCAGAGAGAGAGGGAGACAGAATATGAAGCAGACTCCAGGTTCTTAGCGGTCAGCACAGAGCCAGATGCAGGGCTCAAACTCAGGGACCATGCGATCATGACCTGAGCCGAAGCCAGACACTCAACTGACTGAGCCACCCAGGCGCCCCTAAAATTTTTTAAAGAACATCTTTTGAAAAAATGGTGTAGGGGAGAAGAAAAGAAAGAAAGAAAGTCTCTTGGTCTATGGCATTCTGGACAACGAGTACTCTGATATCTACTTCATAATCTAGAATTCCAAGGGAGACATAGTTTGTTTTGTATAAGCAGCTTTATTGGAACTTGGTAAAAGACATAGACCTGGAGCTAATGGGGATTCTGGGTTCTGGCTCCTGAAATGGGGGGCTCATTCATTCAATAAAGAGTGAAGATTAGGAAGTCCTTCCATAGGGCTGGGAAGTATTCTCTGATGATAACATGATGGCTGGTTTGGGTGATGCCAAGAGGACAATCTAAACTTCCTTTTTTTACTGGGTGGAGGAGGACCACAGTAGAAATGACATCTCAAGGACCTCACAGCAGAAGTACCCAGAATAAGGTTAGGAATACGCAGGACAAGAATGCATGCTCTTGGAGCAGCCCAGTACTCCTCTCTGCCCAGTACTTCCTTGATTCAAAACTGTTACAAGGAGGGTTGGGAAGGTGTCTGGGTGGCTCAGTTGGTTAAGTGGCGACTACAGCTCAGGTCATCATCTCGTGGTTCGTGGGTTTGAGTCCCACGTCGGGCTCTGTGCTGACAGCTCAGAGCCTGGAGCGTGCTTCAGATTCTGTGTCTCTCCCTCTCTCTCTGTGCTTTCCCCACTCATGCTCTATCTCTCTCTGTCTCTCAACAAAAAATAAATGTTAAAAAAAAATTTTTTTTTTAAAAACTACAGGGAAAAACTAGTTGGGAGAAAGATTGGATGCATACATAGAGATTGTAACTTGGTAAGAAACAAACAGCTGTGTGGGAGAAAAGAATACCCTGCGCTTGAAAATTGCTCTGCTTTCTTGTTTTTTTCTTACTTCCCTTTGCATTCTTGCTGTTTATTGACTGATTTCTCAATTGTTTCTTCTTTCTTACTCCTCTTATCACTTTCCTAACTCATTCTTTTCCCCCTTTCCTTTTGCTAAAAGGCTCTCTCCCTGAATCTTCTTTACAGCACACTAAGCTGGACAGGAATTATAAGGGGAAAGAGGTATTCACAGAATCATGGACTCCGAAAACATTTAAGCTACACAAGTAAGTAGACATCAGAGACTAAGATCACATATTACACAGAGGAAAACCAGGGTGCAGGGAAGGGAAATAACGTGTATAAATCACAGAGGGGACTTCTGGCTATTCTGGAACTTGAGCCCGAGACAGATTCCCTGGTTTTCAACAGAGCTTCACTTGGAGAGACAGAAATTTCTGCTGCAGCCAATGAAAAAAGTGTGGCATAAATGAGAGCAGCAGTAAAGAGAAATGATCTATGCCCTATGGCCAACAATACTTACCGAGTAATTATGAACCAGTTATAAACTAGCCAGGTAGTTCTGCAGTAGAATTTGGATAGAAGGAAAATCCCACAAGGCTAAATGCCTAAGAGTTAATTCTTTTCTGTTACTGTGAATGATTTTAAATGTTCCAGTACCCTCTTCAGAAAGCAAAGTGGCTTTTTTTTTTTGGTTTGTTTTGTGTGTGTGTGTGTGTGTGTGTGTGTGTGTGTTTAAGAAAGTAATGTTATACTACAAATGCTCTAGGGAGAAACTGCCCAAATAGAGAGCCTACATTTTTGAGCCAACATTTTTGTTTTTTCCTAAAAACACTTGCATTTCAGAAAAATATTTTAAAATGTGTCCATTATTACATGGCTCCCTTGTCAGGACTGAAGACCTCCAGAAATTTCAAAATATGGGATACTGGCAACAAGCACCAAAGCAGGAGAGGCGTCTTTCTGGATAAGAAAATCATCATCTAAGTGAGAGTGATGCTTCGTAATGTGGAAGGGCCTCTGTTAAGGAAATGAGGTGTGGAAGGAACTGTTGCCAACACACACCAGAAGCATGTTAGTAACCGATTGTTGTCCCAAACCTTTCCTACTTACATAGAACAGTGGAAAGTGCCAACAGGGTTCTCACGGCGGATGTCTTCATACTCCTCATATATCCCCCGCTTTTGTCTGGTGCTAACATAGTCCATCAGCTCTTGGATGGTCATGGCGTGGGGACCCGGAACATGTACCGAGTCCCAGTCTAAGGCAGGAGGGAGGGAGAACAGGATGATCTCATCGAAGGGATCTGGGTGGCCGTTCATCTGGGGTAGGAATTGGAAATTCCAAGTGGCAAGGTCAATTTTGACGTATCCACCCAGGTTTTCTGGAAGGCACTCCCTGGGCAGGTGCTGGGTGACCTCAGATGTCTTTAATATCTGAATCTGAAAGGCCAAAAAGAACCATGTGAGTACGTAGGGGGGGAAAAACATAGATAAACTGAAGATAAAGAATAAATGTGTTTATATTCGATTTGAAGAAGAGGATGAGATTTGCTTGAAATACGTGGTATACTTGTGAAAGAAGTAGACTGCATTTCATCTGCCTGGGATTGAAGTCTTTTTCCCAAATGTCTGACTTCCAGGAATGTATATCAAATTCATTCCTGGAATTAGGGGTCCTTTTATAAATCTTGAAAGGATGGTACTGTGAACAAAGCCTTTATACTATTAACAAGGCTTCCCAGTGCCATCTCATGCAGGTATTTGCCTTTTTGACTACTAAGAACGCACAGGTAGTGATTTTTTTGGTCAACCCCATACTAAGGTAACCAACTCTAAGCCTGGTGCTTTACTCACAGCTCAGTATGGATGTTCTCAAAGATAGTTTTCTATGAATATAACGCAAGACCAGCCACCCAGAGACAGGGTAGCCCAGGAAAACTGCACGAAAAGTAATCCGAAATCTGCTCTCTGCTTAGACACAGCCTTACTGGACCAAATTAGCCTAGTTGGTTCTCCGTGAAATCTGCGTTGAATGGGAATGCTTGTCTCTCTTACTATTGCCTCTTCTTGGAATGTCCTCTTTTCCTCCTCAGCCTCTTCAAGGAGCAGCTTATAAAGCTCACCTCTTCTGTGATGCCCTCCCTGACTGCCAGAGACAATATTCTCCTCTGGGCTCCTTCCTGCAGAGCCACAGTTTTCTGCACTTCTGCCTCTGTGTTCCCTATCAGGACCATGAACTCCTCAAAGATAAGGAAAGTCTCACTCAATTTTTAATTTCCAGGGCCCAGAGCCTGGACTGTAAAGGTGCTCATGTATTTTGAGTTTATACGCACATTTATACTTACATAAACAAGTGCAAGAACTTGCCTAAAGAGGACTCTCAAAGAGTTACCTTGGAAAAGATCTTTCCTATTCCCAGTCACTAGGTCTCCAAGTACTTCCACAGAGCCAAACGTCTTCAGTTTTCCCCTCCAACACAAGTCTCCTCAGCTATAAAGATCTGCATTGTTATCACTAATATAACCTCATAATTCTTTTATTTTTTATTTTTTTTTTTAACGCTTATTTATTTTTGAGACAGAGAGAGACAGAGCATGAATGGGGGAGGGTCAGAGAGAGGGAGACACAGAATCCGAAACAGGCTCCAGGCTCCAAGCTGTCGGCACAGAGCCCGATGTGGGGCTCGAACTCACGGACCGTGAGATCATGACCGGAGCTGAAGTCGGCCGCTTAACCGACTGAGCCACCCAGGCGCCCCTATAACCTCAAAATTCTATATTACAAAAATCTCTAATAATATTTCACACTATATTATGACATAACTCTTATTATGTCAATGCCCTTTCTTTCAAGGGTGAGAAATGAATGAATGAATAAAACCATAATCTTTCAGTCCTGGAACATTCAGAGGATAATAAAGATAAATTTAGAAAACACTTTTGAAGTTAGGAAACAACAAGCTGTTTTCAGAGAAAATGCCAGGAATGGAAGTAGAGAGAGATAGTGAGAGATTCTCCTTTACCACCGTGGTGGTCAAAGGGACGGATTAGTATTTCCAGTTGAACAAATTCAAACACCAGTTCAACTAATGCAATTCCATTAGAGATTGTTAAATATGCATGTACAGCACTAGGCTAAATTTTGGAAGGGGGAGCTATCCTTAAGTTATCCATGGGACACACGCCTTCAGTGCTATCTTTATGCAAGTTGCTATGGAGGGAGAGTGCCAAACAACTATGTGTAGCTCCTAACTTCAAGAAACTTGGAATACAGTGGGAGAGGGAGCCTGTACTGAGCTGAGTAAAGAATAAAGCAGAGAGGGGCACCTGGGTGGCTCAATTGGTTAAGCATCTGACTTCGGCTCAGGTCGTGAACTCATGGTCTGTGAGTTTGAGCCCCACGTCAGACTCTGTGCTGACAGCTCAGAGCCTGGAGCCTGCTTCGGATTCTGTGTCTCCCTCTCTCTCTGCCCCTCCCCTGCTCATGCTCTGTCTCTCCCTGTCTCTCAAAAATAAATAAACATTAAAAAAAATTAAAAAAAAAAAGAATAAAGCAGAGAATATAAGTGGATACGTTAAGAGAAGCAGAAAGCACTTTAGGAGACAAACCAGGAGAATTTTACTGAAGGTAAAAAATTAATTGGCAGGTTTCAACAGTGGAGATGGGAATGTATCTATCCACCTCCAAATAAAACAAAGCTTGCCTTACCCTCTCCCGGACTTTGTCCTTCAGGAGGAGGCTGATGATGGAATAGGGCACTCGGAACCATATTGGTGCTCCCACGATCAGCACTTTCTTCAAACGAGCAGGAAATGCTCCCTATGGAGAACACATATGAAAATTTAAAGATATTAGTTAAAGCACACTGGAACCTGTGACCGTTCGAACGCAAAGTATAGGTTTTCTGCTCTTGTCCCCATCCTTACCCAGCAGGGGGAGTCTACAGCCTAATTTGCGTTTCATTTCAGTAACTACAGAGGTGGTTAAAAATTTTCAAATTATACACCTGACACTAATATAACACTATATGTTAACCATACTAGAATTAAAATTAAAAACTTAATAAAAAAATTAAAAGCTGGTTTACTTTTAAAAGTTATGTTATGTTCTGGGTGCCTGGGTGCCTCAGTCATTAAGCACCTGACTTTGGCTCAGGTCATGATCTTACAGTTAGTCCCACATCTTAGTCCCACATCGGGTGAGCTTGAGCACGCTTCTCTCTCTCTCTCTCTCTCTTTCTCTCTCCCTACCCCTCATGGGATTCTGTCTCTCTCTTCCCCTCATTCACTTGCACCCTCTCTCTCTCTCTCTGAAAAAAAGTTATGTTCTTATTAACATAAGCTTTATGGATCAAAAATATACTGACTTTTGTCAGCATATATGTGTGCATCCGTAAGTTCTGCTTATTAAAACTTTAAGAAAAATTAAATCATGAATAAACAGAACATGAAAGAAACATCTCTCATAACCTTTTATTCTGACATCTGTGTGTTTATAAATCATTTTTTAAGCCATCTCTTCATCTATTTTTGTATTCATTTATTCAATCAACAAATATAATCTAGTGGACACAAGGGCAAATGAGATATAAAGGCAAGGAGACACCTGATCTGCATAAAGCATAAGAATAAAAAAGTATTCATTCCTAATCCACAACTCTTGGTTTCCTTTGGTTTAATATCTCAGGCCTTCTCACGGGCAGGGATACCAGGTAATATTGGCATTACTGGAAGAAATTACTCCCAAGGAATAAAAAAACAAAAAACAAAAAAGAGGGAATTGTAGCTAAATATCTTCTACAACTTTCTCCCTATTCTTTTTCAAAAAATTGATTCTCAATTTGACATGTCACTCTCTGGCTATTCTTCCACTGATTTGGGGGGGGGGGGTGCGGGTGGTCCATGAACATTCCCAATAGAGAATATACAGCATCTAGAACAAAATGCTCCATGGGCTTCTTCACTGAAGTCTGAGAAACTACCTTTCATCTCTTCCCTCAAAGATACAACAACTTATTTCAGGGCCCAAAAAGCCAAGGTCCCTTTAAACTGCCAGATCAAAAACCAGTCTGGAGAAATACCTATATTTCCACAAAATTATAAATAAAAAGCAGAAGCCATTATATTTGTTTCTTCAGAGCAAAGAACTACACACTCAGGCCTGTTCCATTTTAATGACTTTATGGCATCCACGTATACTGTTGATGGGACAGTAAATAGTTACATCTTCTAGAAGGCCTCTGGCATTACATATCCTTAAAAATGTGCATATCCTCTGATCAAGTAACTCTATCCTAAGGTAACAACCAGAAACACAAAGATTTATGAACAAAAATGTTTACTGCACCTTTATTTTTGATAGTTAAAAATAGCATTTAAAACTGGAAAGAATATATATGTCTGAAAATGGGTAGGGGCTAATAAAAATGGTATTATAATAAGATTATTACATGACCTTTAAAATGAAGATTTCAAAGATTTTTTTTACAACTTTGGAAAATGCCCACAAAATAATCCTAATTAAACTAAACAGAATCAGCTACAATCTTAATTTTGTTTAAAAAATTACACATATATTTCACAAAGAAAAAAGATTATAAAGAATTATATCAAAAGCTCAACAGAGTTTCTCTCTGATAAGTGAGATTATGAGTTGTTATTTTCTATAATACTTAGCATTACTTTTATTTTTTACAACCTTATTTAAAATGTTTATATCCTCTTTTTTTTTAAAGTAATCTCTAGGGGCACCTGGATGGCTCAGCTGGTTTGGTGTCTGACTCTTGATTTCCCCTCAGGTCATAACGTTGTAGTCTATGGGTTTGAGCCCTGCATCAGGCTCTGCAGTGACAATTCGGAGCCTGCTTGTGATTCTCTTTCTCTGCCCCCACCACTCGTGCTCTCTCTCTCCCTCAAAATAAATGAATAAACTTAAAAGAAAAGTAATCTCCATGTGCAATGTGGGGCTCGAACTCATGACCCAGGGATCAAGAGTTGCATGCTTTACCGACTGAGTCAAGCAGGTGTCCCTAAAATGTTTACATCCTTGGATCCGGTAGGCCTACTCCTAGAAATCCACAAACTATTTTATGTGCAAGATATGAATATAAAAAAGTGTTTGCTGAGAAAACTGTTTATTATAACAAACAGGAAAAAATATCCAACAACATAGAAATAGTTAAGTAAATTATTGTAAATACAGGATAGACTATCATTCAGCAATTACAAGTGTTCATAAAATAAAGTTGTTGGAGCTCACTGTATCTTGAAATTGTATGAACATAATTAAGACCATATTGAAAAACATCTAGAAGAAAGTGTCCTACACCAAAATGTCAACAGTGTTTATTTCTGCATAGTATCAAAGGCAGTATTTCTTCTTAATGTATATTAGTCTGAGTTGTCCAAATTTGTCTACAATGAAAATTTTTTCTGATTATAATAGTATTTTAACTATAAAAGGTAAATGTGAAAAAAATTAGCCACCCTATAAATAATAATCAGCATAAAAGTATAACGGTAAAAACATGTGATTTATAGTAACACTTATGCACACACACACACACACACACACACACACACACACACACACTACCTCTCTCCCTATCTTTTTCTCCCTGAAAGTCATTGGTCTTACAAACAAGATGATTTATCCTTGGTGTGTGCTGTATGTTTTTATATGTACGTATATGTATCTTTTAGCCTAGGAATAAACTACGTAAGACACATGTAAGATAAATAAAATAATTTTAAAACGTTATTGAAAGACATAACAAAAGACTTAAAAAAAAGTAGAGCATTCTTGGATTGGAGATAATAACATTATAAAGATGTCAATTCCCCCTAAAGTAATTTGTTAATTCATTATATCCAAATAAAATCTGAGAATGTTTCATTTCCCTCAAATGTGACTGAATGACTCTAAAATTCATCTAACCAAAAGGTGATGATTTTTTAAAAAAATTTCTCATCAGATTTAAAATTTGGAAAAAGTGGCTACCCTCTGGGAAATGGCACTGGGTGTATGATGAAGGGTGTCAGAGACTTTTCCCTGAATTGCTTTTTAATTGCTTTTATAATAAAGGGCTAGGAGTGCCTGGCTGGCTCAGTCAGTAAAGCATGCGACTTTTTTTTTTTTTTAAGTTTATTTATTTATTCTGAAAGAGACAGCGCCTGTGCACAAGCAACGGGGGTGGGGGGAGGAGGAGGAGAAGGAGACGAAGAGAGAATCCCAAACAGGCTCCACGCTGTCAGCAGTATGGAACCTCATGTGGGGTTCAAACCCATGACCTGAGCCCAAATCAAGAGTCGGCTGACAGAGCCACCTCAGCGGCCCGTTTTTTTT